AAGTTCCACACTTGCAGCTGGCAGAACACACAACGTTCTTTGCCTTATGCGGGCAACCTTGGTTACCGTTCTCTTTTCTTTGAACTTTTACAACTACAGTTGTCAACCTGTATGAAATGAAGCAATTGCTTGTTTTTTCCGCTGCTGAAAATGTAAATATATGCGCAATTTTATAGTTGGAATGTTGTGATTCCGATCTTTTCCGACATTTTCCGAAAATCAGTTTGTTATGCGCAGCTCGGATACACATCGGGTGACATTGTCGCTTTACTACACATGGAAATCCATGTGAATCTGGTTAGACCGTTTTGATATCTGTTGAAGGCATACAAAACCTTGTGAATTATTTTAGACTGTTCAGAGACTCTCATTACCAGACATTTGGTAGTCTGTTTGAAATGAAAGGTGTTAAGTGTCAGAGAAACAATGATCTGTCAAGTAACCTTCTAACTACTAGCATCATTAAAAGTGCATGTAATAAAAACACTGAGAGTGAGATATCATCAAGACAAAATACAAAACCTGAACTTCCGAAACAGAACGATTACAAAGTAACTGAGCAACAAGAAACTGCTGAACAAAGAACATCGGTTATCGAAAGCTAAGTTTTATAAAGCGTTCGTTAAAACACATAGACCAAATGAAAAAAAAAGGATTTTAAAGCAAAGAGAATAAGAGAGATCAACAGAAAAATTTGATTAAAACAAGAAAAAGTGAAACTATCGAGGATAAGGAAAAATGGCTTTTTTAAAGAGAATACAAGAGAGCTCGATGACAACGGAAAAATTTAACACAATATGAGACTGTCGAGGATAAGGAAACACAGCTTTTAAAACAAAGAGAATAGAAAAGAGCTCAATGGAAAAACGGGAAAACACAGACAAAGATTGGTAAAAGTAAAAGATAGTTACAAAAGTCTAGCTGTTCAAACTCAAACCATCTTTCACAGTTTAATAATAGACCAATTCCATAAATCTGTATCTAAAGGTTACACACCTGGAAAAGGTATGCAATCTGCCACAGGTTGGCTGGAAGAGAGGTTACGGAATGTACAACGACACAGCATTCAACACAACCCAATCACACAACCAAGCACCTCATTACCTTCTAATCTAAGAAGTTCAATAACAACTTTGCAAGGTACAGTATACTCAAATCCAAGCGCTGCTAAATACTTACAAGGCATTTTTAGCTTTTGTAATACCGAGTTTCTTTGCTTCACATGTAACAAATATTTTAAAAAAGATAAAATCCCACCATGTGCAACGACAGATAGATTTAAATTTCCAGAAAAACCTGATTTCTTTGATTTAAATGAGTTACACGATTGGCATTTCAAAAGATCATGCAGGCTCCCAGAGGAAGTCAACTCAAAATAACAGGTAATGTTGTGAATGTGCCAGCAGATGTCTGCAGTACAGTTAACATGCTTCCCAGATTACCCCAGGATACTGGTACTATAAAGGTTCAATTGAAACACAGACTACAGTATAAAAGTTCTGCACTCTCTTTAAACATAAGACCTAACAAAGTGAAGCAAGCTGCATAACTCCATATCATCCAGCATTTTTCCTGATCAACTGAAAATCGCTCGAGTTGTTTCAATTTTTAAAACTGGTGATCGACAAATATCAAATTACCACCGATCAATATCAATCATGCCAATTTTCTCGAAAGTCTGTTTCTATTTGTTTTAATTTACTACATGGACAGCCTCCATATTCTCGTTGACAATCAGTTTGGTTTTCGAAGCGGTCACTCAACTTCTTTAGCCTTGTTGCAACTATACAATAAAATTTCATCTGCTATTGATCTCAATGAATTTACAATTGGCATCTTCTTAGATCTATCCAAAGCTGTTGACACTGTTAACCATAGTATCTTCTTTGACAAACTACAGCGTTATGGAATTCATTGTAGTGTATCCGAAGGTTCAATACTAGCTCCACTTCCCTTTTTGCTTTATATTAATGACATTAATAAGGTCTCCAACATTGCTAACCTCATCCTATTCACCCATGACACAAACCTGTTTTTCTCACATAACAATTTGCCATTCCTTATTGATCAAGTAAATGGAGAACTGGACAAGCTGACCATGTGGTAGACTACGACATACGCCTGCATTCTAAAAACTGACTCCCGCTCACACTCAAAGAGTGGAGGTTCCATCTGAGCTTTCCTTGAGTGTCAATACTGTTTTTAGAATAGCTGGAGGGTGAGTAGTTGCCTGGTAAGCCATGACACTACCTTTGAGCTACTCAAAATCAGCATTGACATTCGAGGGAAGCTGAGATCGGACTTCCACTCTTTGAGTGTGAGTGAGCTTTTAGATTACAGGCGTTAGCCTATGTGTGTAATGTGATAAGTGCTAAACACAGACTATGAATTAGCAGTTCATCGTGTTCTGTGACATAGCTACTATCAAGAATCTGGATAGTCCACTGTGATTGGTCGCTAGAGGATACAGCCGTTTCATTGGTCCTTTGGAGTTAATTTATTTCTATACTAAATTATTTTATTTATTTATCAAAATGGTGGCGGTATTTGATGAATATTCTTGGCAAGAAGCATTTTATTCCGTAGAGGCTCTATTTGAGATTTCTTAGAAAGTTTATTTCCAGAACAAAAAGAAGCAATTAAGGCGTTTATTGAAAAAGATGTCAGTATTTTCGTCAGCTTGCCAACTGGAGCAGGGAAATCCATGATATTGCAGAGTTTGCTGTTCGTGTTTAACTCGTTGTATGGCAACCCCAAAGGAACAAGTGTTCTTATGGTCATATCATCATTGAAAGCACTTATGAAACACCAAGTGAACTACCTTCTTGATTGTGGTATACCTGTTGTAGCTATCGTTGACGAGCTAAGTGCTGACCCTGAAATTGTTCAGCAAGTTAAAAATTGTACTTATACTCTTGTTTATGGCTCACCAGAGTGCTTCCTGTCATCATTGTGGATTTTCAGATACTGATTTCACATGAAAACTAATAGGAGTGGCTATCGATGAAGCTCACTGTTTTGTTCACTGGTAGGTTTTCTCTTATTCTATACTCCAGATATAATATTTGTCCAGTCTATTTCCCAGAACAAATTGAAAAATTACACATATTTTTTTATTGTGAATTAATAATCACAATAAAGTATGCATAATTTTTTCTCTTATCTTTTCCAGGAACATTTCATTTCTATTTTCGTACATAGAATAAAGCCGGTTACAGACAGAGCAAGTTTTCTATGACAAGTTTTTATGTGACAAGTTTTATTTGCCAAGTGCACGTGTGTATATGCAACAAATTTATATGACAAGTTTTCATACGACAAGTTTTATTCACCGCCATGACAGAAAAATTATAATAGTCCACTGGCCAATCACATCAAATGCTCAGATTACTTTGACAAGTTTTCTATGGCAAGTGCACTTGTTCGAAGGCTAGCATGCCTGGCTTTTGAACAAGTGCACTTGTCATAGAAAAACTTATTATTTTTACTAGGGGGTTGTCTGGAAATAAAAGGTACCTTTCAGGAAATGGTTTGGTTGTCTTGGTGAAATCAGATTGCTGATTCCAAAGAATAACAAGATTGTCATTGTAAGAGCCACAGCAACACAAAGGCAACCAAGTCTCAAATTCTCAAAAGTCTCGACATTACTGCAGATCAATTACACACAGTAGAACAAAACCCTAACAGAATCAATTTAATGTACATATTGTCCTACATGGATAAACAAAGGAGTCTAAAAGATGTCTTCATCAAACTTATTACTGAACTTCAAACAGTTTTATGCAAAACTGAGAGAACCCTGATTTACTGTCAGATTAGGAAACAATGGTCCTTGGTGTTTCGTATATGTTTGAAATAAATCTTGGTAAAAACTGTATCATGGTGCAGCTCTACCACTGAATCAGTTAGTGGAAATGTTTCATGCTGCCACACCACAGTCTGTTGCTTTTGGCATGGGGGTAAATTGTAAGAAAGTCAGACGTGCCATACATTTTGGCCCATCTAAAAAGCTAGAACAGTATGTCCAAGAATCTGGAAAGGCAGGGAGGGATGGAACAAGCAGCAGATGTACTATCCTTTATAATGGATGGTCTACTGGCAGCATATTGTGAGAAAGATATGAAAGAATTCCTGCAGTCCGACAGATGCTGACGCCATTAACTTATGAGGAACTTTAGTGATTATGCCTGTGTTGAAGTTAACCCTGCTCACAATTGTTGTGATATATGTGCAAGTAATTGTGATTGTAACAGTTAGAGTGTGCAATGAACTGGTGTTTGCTTACCCCAGACAGCCCCCTAGAAATCAATGACTTGTGTATGGCAACCGCACACTACAGTGTTTTTATATAGATCAGTGGTCGAGCGCGCGGGGGTGCTTGGGGAGGTTGCAGGAAACAAAGCGCCTGGCAGAATTTGTAACAAACATGGGCGGACATGAGGATGCAAATGAGGAAATTGCTGTACTATACTCAATGAAATTGAAAGGCCTGCCCATCGAGCATGACATTTGGGAAAGATTTTATGTCCAAATGATCACTGCATTGATAATAATTATTTTTCCTCGAAAACGGTATTATATATTTAACATTTTAGCTGGCAAGTCTCCTCAGGACCTCTCAAAATTTTATAATAGACAGTCTCCTGGTCATGGTTTATTTAAAATGGTTGAAAATATATTTCTGGTATTGGATGCACATCATGAAATGTACTGCCTTTTTGCAGTTTGAAAGAAAAGTATTCTGACAACAAAGCCAAAGTCAAAGAAACTGGCCAAGTTTATAACTTTATATTCTTGATATTTTAATAATACATTGAATTTTATAAATATGGAATGTTGAAACTACTATTTATTTGTACTGATGATACATTTTACCTCAGAGGAGAAAATTAACTGGAAAATATTTAATGATTGTAGGTTTTTAAAATTTTGCCAATAGAAGGAATATAAATTAACATGCATGAATCCATTAAACCCTTCGCCGATATACTCCTTAATAGCAAAGAAAAACCAACATACCGACAATCCCTAGCGGCTAAGGATATAAAGCCTAAAGACAAATCGTCTCCTGAGATCATTGAACAAATCACAACAACTACACCTCGGGAGAAATCGTTTTCCTTGGTGAAAGCTCAACTTGCAAACATTGAAGCAGAATTTACAATGTATCGAGAGAACAATGATCAAACAATGTCACAGCTATTCAAGTTGATAGAAAAGAAAGACGAACAGATAAACGCTCTGAAAAATGATATTTGCAAGCTAAAATCGACTGACAAAGAGCAGCAACAAGTTCTCAGTGATCTCACTGTAGAACACTTAAAAATGGAACAAGATATTGAAGCCTTAAATAAAAGATGTCAAAAAACAGAGGAAAAGAACTTGAGCTTGTTAAAATCATTAAACAAGAAAGAAAAAGAATCGGAATGCGAAGATCTTTCTTGGGCCTCCATGTCTGCCAAGACTGCCACCCTTCCACCTTCAGGCAACACCTACACCATACCCACATCAAACAGTTATGAAGCCCTTTTCAATGAAGAGTGTGAAAACAATACCAGCAATGATACTAAAAAAGAGAACAAAAGCCAAAAACCAACTCCTCAAACAAAAAACCAAGAACCAGAGAACGAAAACCCAGCTATACCACCACAAAATCATACCAATACTGCGGAAACCATCATCTTATGCGACAGTAACGGACGATATCTTAAACCAAAATTACTCTGCCCAAATACAACAACTAGCTATATTCGTTGTCCAACATTAACAAAAGCTAGACAAATAATCACTACCTTTACTGATCCAAAAAATTTTATTTTACATTGTGGAACCAATGACATCGAACACCTCCAACCTGAGCAAAATCTTGACAAGGCGATTGAAGATATTGTTGGTCTAGTCAAAGAAAAACATCCCGAATGCCGAGTGATTATCTCTGGTTTACTTCCAAGAAGAGATGAACTAAATAAAAATATCACCTCTATCAACAATGGAATAGAAAAAGTCCTAGAAAACACACCAAATACCTCCTTCATCCACCACGAAAACATCAGCACAGAGAAGGACTTCTACGATAACAAGCACCTTAACGAAAGAGGAGTAAATTCTTTGCGAAAAACATTAAGGGTGCTTACTTCAACACAAAGCCAAAGAAGATGCCCTATATAAGAAAAAACCCTAACCCTTACCCCACCTACAAAGGAAACATTCTGCAACATACATACCCAGCCACATTCAATCTAAAGTACCCAATTGCCCCTAATTACCATCATCGACCATTTACACCATTCCTAAACGTACCACCACCAAATATGCTACAAGATGCCAGCAGATATGCTTCATCCAAGCCCTTGAGTCCTCAATAACCTACTACGAAACCACTACCAACTGAACTGATTGGGCTGATAAAGCAACTATATGGCTGTATAAATGAAAACAAATAACTGTGAGTTCATTTATTACTTTTATTCATTACTAAAATTTAAATATTTGAAAAGAGTTAACTATAAGTATGGCATTCTCTATCATATAATTAGAAATAACAAAAAAAAATGATCCCCAACATTTCATTTAGCACATGGAATATTAATGGTTTATTCAGTAGAGTCCTTGGAGATAAATCTAAAAATAAGGACTTTCTTGATACTATTGTCAAAATTGATTTCATATTTCTAACCGAAACATGGACAGATACATGTTGCAATATTCCAGGATTTGAGACTATTGCCTCTGAAATGGCTAAACCTGCCACCAAACATGCATGTCGACAATCAGGTGGCATTAGTTTGTTATTCAAAAGCGAATTCAAAAACGATGTCAACATCATAAAGAGTACAAAAAACCTTTTATGGAGCAAAATATCCAAAGAAATCTTAAAGTCAGACCTAGATTGTACGTTTGTGGTACATACATACCACCTGAAAAATCAAAATACTTCGAAAATGAAATATTTGAAGAACTCGAAAATGACATAATCCTTTTCTCATCAAGAGGAAATGTACTTCTTCTTGGTGATCTAAATGCTAGAACAAGCAAACTTGAAGATTTTGTTTCAAGTGATGGAAGTGATCACATTCA